ATACAATGTATCACATGCAGTATATCACGTTCAGAATACATAACTGTATCACATGCAGTATAACACGATCAGAATACAATGTATCACATGCAGTATATCACGTTCAGAATACATAATTGCATCACATGGAGTATGTACATCTGTATGACAATTCACTGCATTCACATATACATGTAAAGTATATTCACACCTGAGAAGCTTTGGTCACCGGAATGCACAATCTTCAAATAGTCCAGTTGACACGGGAGTACGTAGGCATATCAACCTAAAAATAATAATAGACGTGTGTAAAAAGGTAGATTTGTCACATCATTAATATTACAGTTCATAATACAATGTTCATAACACATCTGCTAAAAACACCGTTTCATCCCTGTATTGTAAGATTGCAGATGAGAGATCAAACCCTGAAATGTATTGCGGATCCCAGCTGTTCAGCTCTTCATGTTCCCACGTTGTATTTAAAACAAAGCTCCAAGCATATTTCCACATGAGCATGTGGTTTGGAAATTAAATCCTCATATGTCTATTTTAAGAAGGAAACAATAAAAGCGTTAGCTCATTTCGAAGTCGTAGTTACGTGTGGCTTTATTATCTTGCTGAAATGCAGTTGATGTAAACGTTGATCAAAAGAACACGTGTACCCGTACTGGCTTCCTCTGTACGAGCTCAGATGACTGATAAACGTTCATATATATCTACATATTTAAAACAAACGCCCAAATTACGCAAACAACTAAGTGCTTAAATGTCGTTCTTTCTAAAATTGAATTGTTCAAGCCGGTAAGATACTTGATTCACTGGCTGTTTACACTTGTTGAAGAGAGATATGTCTTGCAAACTTGAGTCAGCTGGTGTTATCTAACGATCTACGCTAAACCTGTCAATAGATATAGTTCACAGCCTCGTCAATCACTGCAGGTCTGCATAGTTTTGACAGCCATCCTGACAGGTTTTCTGAAGCAAATTTAGATATGATCTCAATGAGACATCACTAAGTTCATTTTTGAAGAAGGACTCATGCCCGTCGTGTACAGATGTGGCTGCACTGCATTTGTTGACAAGAGGGGATATGATGTTTTGCATTTGGTTGGCTGGGAAGGACGGTTTGGTCCTATCACTCAGTGTTTGAAGTTGGGAGGGGTTGGGGTTGCTGTCGGTGCTGATGGTGTAAGGTGAGTTGGTGCAGGTGCAATTTTGGTGGAATCTTAAAGAGACGTATAGAATAGATCATTGTGTTAGTAGGAAGTGTGGGTATGAAGGTTGGTGTTTTCAGGTTTGGGTGAATGCATTCTCGAGCTGGGGGTGACTGAATGACTCACGGGTCACTGGGCGGAGGTTGACAGATGACAGTGCTCAAACAAGCGTCTGAAATTTTAATGTTTTTTATGGCTTTGACCATGTCGCATCGCAATCGTGTTCATGAAAAACACTCGTTAAATCTAGTCCTCCTCCTCCTCCTCCCCCTTCCCTCCTCCTCCTCCTCATCATCATCGTCGTCGTCGTCAGATCCTCATCAACCTGTCCCTTAGTAAAGGTAATGAAATGCCTCGCTTCGATATTTCGTTCACACGTAAGTGCATGGGTACCCGGTAGGGTGAAATCGAAAGGTCTTCGCAGACTTAGCGCCTAACTTTGGTATGTACACTCATTTGGCATCTGAGAATCGGTTTTGAATGTAAACTGATCCGTGGACAACAACAATGCAGATGCTTTCTTATTTACAATGGATCTTTGCGAACTAACTTGCACTTGAGTTAAACGACCGCGGTGATCGGCGAGTCCTGGCATGCCTTCAGAGTAGGCGCAGCAAGAGTTAACGAAAGGTATATATGATGTAGTTAGTCCCGATTATTAGCGTTGCGAGGTGTTCTTGTGAGGTAGCTGACAATCAACTGTACGAGGAGATAAGGGGCCTTAAGTAGCCTGTAAAACCAGATTAGGGTCAAACTGACTTTCTGAGTACATAACACACTCAGCACGGTTCCTCTCCCCGCGGCCAGCAACCAGTTACCCAAGTCCCCACTACCGTTACCTGTCCACTTGTCTTCATCCCTCTGTCTCGGAACAGGAAACTCAGTGTTGTCATGTGCACCATTGGTGATAGCTACGTAAATGCTACTGAACTGAGTACATGGGGATTAATTTAATAAAAGCCACTAACTCTTTCCTTATTAATGTGAAAACTCGCTAAAGACTCCGACTTTATAATAAGATTATGTGTGGTTTTCACATAAGGATGATTATTATTTATGATGAGTACAGCGGTTAAGCATCTCCAGTACGTACCCGTTAATACGAAATTACCACGTTGCCCACGATTATAGATGGGAATTACAGCAAGGGTTACACAGTGCAAACAATTACGGAAATATGTTAATTTAAATTCAAATGATTTCAATGGGCTCATCCATTCAGATTAACGGGTTTCACTGTCTTTATGAAATAAGTCTTAGTGGGAAACGTCGTTCTCTATGGTATAGGAATGTATCATGATCATATCAGCTGTCTAGGTGTTGCAGTGTCTAGCTGATTAATTGGTGAGATGGTAAAGATTCGAAATGTTGGTGAGGTGGTTAAATGTCGGGATTCATATGGTAAGGTGATGTGTGTGTACTCGTGGTAAGATTGCCATATGTTGAGGTAATTATTTATGGAGCTGCTCCTGGTAGGGATTCGAGATATACAAGGTCGAAATAGTGAAGTGTCGAGTTTTATTCGGGATGATGCCGTCATTGAGGTAGAGAGAGGTGTCGATGTGAAGCGTTTAGATATCGAGATGCTGAAGTGGTAAACTGTAAAGGTGAGGAGTAGCCGGAGTGAGGTGTTGAGAGTGCACATGGTGAGGTGGTAAGATGTCAATGTGTCTAGGTGGTAAGATGTCAATGTGTCTAGGTGAGGTGTTCAGTGTGCATGTGGTGAAGTGGTAGAGATGTCAAGGTGGGAAGACACCCAGCCAGACACAACCGGACCCAGGAAGACAAATGAGTGAGCATGTGGAAGTGGACCAGAAGGACAGAGATGTCAAGGAAGATCCGACCACGACCAACGCACAGTGGCAAAGACCCGACCCAGGTGGCACACAGTGGCCAACCCAGACGCACACAGGACCCAGGACACACCACAGGAAAGACCATGGCACAGACAAACACACAAGGAAGTGGCCGACCAGGCCAACACGGAACGGAAGACACAACACGGGTGGAGGACCATGGTGGCTGACAAGGACAAACACAGGACGGAGGCATGGAGCCACCAAGGATGTGGACCCAGGAGAGGACCAGCAAGACCCAGGGTGGACAGAAGGCCACAAGACACCGATGGAACCCAGGACAGACACAACCAGATGAGGTGAAAGCACAAGGAACGAAGACAACCAAGGACCATGGAAGACGTCACAGCGGAGTGCACCCCAGGAGACAACTGACCGGAAGGAAATGGAAGACAAACATAAACCCCAGCATGTGGTGAAGTGGTAAAGATGTCAAGGTGTATATGTGAGGTTTTGAGTGTGCATGTTGTGAAGTGGTCAAGATGTCACAGTTGTGTAGGTGAGGTGTTGAGTGTGCATGTGGTGAAGTGTTAAAGATGTCAATGTGTATATGTGAAGTTTTGAGTGTACATGCTGTGAAGAGGTAAATATGTCAAGGTGTCTGGGTGAGGTGTTGAGTGTGCATCTAGTGAAGTGGTAAAGGTGTCTAGGTGAGGTGATGAGTGTGCATGTTGTGAAGTGGAAAGATTTCAATGAGTATATGTGAGGTGTTGAGTGAGCATGTGTTGAAATGGTAAAGATGTAAAGGTGTCCAGGTGAGGTGTTGAGTGTGCATGTGGTGAAGTGGTAAAGATGTCAATACTGACTAGGTGAGGTGTTGAGTTTGCATGTGGTGAAGTGGTAAAGATGTCAAGGTGTTTAGGTCAGGTGTTGAGTGTGCATATGGTGAAGTGGTAAAGATGTCAATGTATATAGGTGAGGTGTTGAGTGTGCATGTGGTGAAGTGGTAAAGATGTCAAGGTGTCTAGGTGAGATGTTGAGTGTGCATGTGGTGAAGTGGTAAGATGTCAATGTGTCTAGGTGAGGTGTTGAGTGTGCATGTGGTGAAGTGGTAAAGATGTCAAGGTGTCTAGCATGTGAGAAGTGGTAAAGATGTCAAGATGTTGAGTGTAAATGTGGTGAAGTGGTGTCATGTGGGTAGAAAGGTGGTGAGGTGTTGAGTGTGCATTGTGAAGTGGTAAAGATGTCATTGTGTTTAGGTGAGGTGTTGAGTTTGCATGTGGTGAAGTGGTAACGTATGTAGGTGATGTCAATGTCAATGTGTATAGGTGAGGTGTTGAGTGTATCTGGTAGGTGAGGTGTAAGTGAGAATGTGCATGTGGTGAAGTGGTAAAGATCTGTGACTCAACATTTTCATCGTTGTAGTGTGGGCACAACAGCTCGCTATACAGACGTACATCCAGGAATGTCCATGTTCTTCGGTAATAAACAATTTCCAAAAATGAAATTCAGATACATTTTACGCACCTAAATCTTGCATGTCATGTATTTTGCATAATATATCGAGAACCCCATATGAAATTATTGCATCTCAAGTACAAGTGATCCGACGTTTTGAAAGGATAACGTTTTAACTTTTCGTGACACGTAAAACTTATTTTCAAGATATGTCAAGCGTATAAATTGAATGACAAATCTGTCTGTCCTTATCAAAAGTTAAATTGTGTACATGTTTGCGCATTTACCAGACACATGGGAACCAAAACCTACCTTTTCATTAAACCGCTCAGAGTATTCATAAGACAGATAAAAGCTGTACCGCGGGTTGTATGTATATTTTGAGAGGGCAGACACATTGTGACCATAAAAAAACCCACATGCACGATATAATAATACATCGGAATAATAACACACAATAACACAGCCTCAAATTGTATGTCACATTGTCAAACACGACATAAGATAATACAGGTTGAATACAAATATGAATATATAACAGTACCTCATGTAGGTTGGTATCATTTATTTCATTTTAAGCACTGGACCCGCCTTAATTCTCTGCCAAATCATACACAAAATAAATGCCAATGGTCATAAATATCACATAAAACACAAGATAAACATGGTATGAGTTACATTTAAACACAAAGTATGAACATAATTGAAACTGAATATTACTTCTTTAATCGCACAGTTGCGAACTTAAACGTTATACTTTGATCGCACGAAGACCTTCTCTAGTCTGCACTTAATTTTGAAGAGTGGGTGAGTATGGTTTTACGCCGCTTTTAGCAATATTCCAACAATATCACGGCGGAGGACACCAGAAATGGGCTTCACACATTGTACCTATGTGGGGAATCGAACAGGGTCTTCGGCTTGGCGGGTGAAGGCATTTAACCCTGAAGGCGAAGCGAAATTCGAAACAAATAGGTGAATGAGTAAGCTAATATGTTATCGAAACGTTTAGACCTTTAACAGTGTATGAAATAAGTTTGAAAAATAGCCATCCCGAATATGATAATTTGTCTATTTAAATGGCAAAATTTAACAAAAGCTTCCAAAAGTTGCCAGCACAGACAAAAGTTACCACGTTACGGGCTGTCGGACAGGTGTTATTTCATACACTGCTTTTAATCAACCCAGGTGTACGGATAAACAGACACTGAACTATGGTAACGATCAAAGCAACTCTAGGGTTCAAAACAACAACGCGCGGACAGTTCAGTGTGACATTTCAATTAAAGCATACCGATTACTCAACACGATGATTTTTAGCAAGTAAACACAATCGCTCTCACACATTTGAGAAAAACAGAAATCAAATGCAGGCAAAAATCACTCTTACCTTGTTATTTAAACTAGATATGACAATTCGAACATGTCCCCCGAATATGTGAGTCTCATAAATAACCATGTACAACTATAGGACGTTCAGTATGTTTCAGGGAAATTGTATACAAACAATATGACATAATAGTGGGTAATTGATGGTGTTATATGAAAAATAAATAACACTACTACAATCCAACGTTAATCTGTAATCTAAAAAATGATGGAAATGTGAAATATTCAATTGTATTCCGTTAACTTAAAAATCCACATTAACGTCGTATATCGCAATAGTGACGTGACGTTGTGTGTCGATTTCACCGTCGAAGAACTGAAAATTCAGATTTGACTGCCCGTCTTACTGCCTAGGTCCTTGACTATACACAGCGCTAAAGGCATGGAGGGTCTAACGTTATCATATATTTGACGTCACGTTCAAAACGTCGTCGTTCGTGGAAATGATATCGGGATCTTTTTCACATTTTTGTGAGCAGTCATCCCGAGACGCATCCGGTTCTGGCGTACCGACTACGTCATGACGTCATGATGAGGGCGCTGTATGCGGGCGAGTATTTTTCAGCTTCGATATGGAAGCCATGTCGCCATCTCACTCAACACGTGTCCGATGTCTCTGTCATGCACAGAACGTCATTCCTCCTCAACCCTGAGCATACATCTGCAACCAAGGGCCTTGAGACCCCGTCTGTTCAATGGTATAGAGTAATCCACACGAATTACCAGCGTTTAATGTGAGTTCACGACTCGTTCAATCCAGTCCACAAAACTAGGAACTTTTGTGTAAATACCGAATTTCCCCTTACGTCCGCACCCCTCGCCATAGCTGGTAATCCCATACACAAACCAGCGTGAGGTATTGTTGACCTCATGAGCGCATAACAGAGGTCCACCACTGTCCCCTGCGCATGAGTCTACACCTCCACGTGCATACCCTGCGCAAACCTGTGTGTCCGTGATCTCATAATCAAAAACGGCTTGGCATCTGTTGGCGTCCACAACTGGCACTTTAGCCTCCTGTAAAGCGATTGCGCCAAACAAATGGGTATTTTTTCTTTTCCCCCAGCCAACTGTATAACAGAGAGTTTTGGGAGGAATCACCTCGTCTTTCTCAGGAAGACACGCAAATCCCAAGCCAGGTATCCGGTGAACTGGCTTCTTGAGTCTTATGAGGCCTATATCGTTTGATATTGTTGAATAGTCAAATTTTGGATGGGGAAAATCTTTGTTCGGTTTTTGCGTCACTTCCGTTCCTTCGTACAATTGGAAGTCGTGTTCACCCATGCGCACAAGGACTCTTCGCTTTCTTCCTCTCTTCCGGATACAGTGTGCGGCTGTGAGGACCCAAGATGGCGCTATGAGGGTTCCACCGCAGTACGGCTCTTCATATCTTGTCATAATGGCAACCTGGAACGAAAAATAGCATCTTTTGTAACCATCTGTCATGTAGCCAACAGTCACAATCCTTTATACATAATTTCAATCTCCAATTTTAGTGACTTTAAAATACATGATATAAAGATCCCTGTCTGAACACTGCATAAGTATGAACAGAGACAATTAACAGTATCTTTTATAGGCTGCTGAGCCAAATATGCAACGACACCATTCCTCCAGAAATATGTTTGAAACAGATTACAACATTATTATAATAGTTCCACTACAGCTCACTCGTACCTATAGTGAACCGCGTGCATCAACGTAGGCACCCACTTAGGAGGTGCTGCCGTCAAAATGTTTTTATGTTTCATAAAATCGTGTTTTCAAAACATGATTCATTTGCTTCTACATGAGTTACAGCATGTATAATACTTTTGACTACACTGCCATTTATATATTTACTGTATAAATATTTTGACCTAAAAGCTTAATCTTATGAGGACAATATGTCGTAAAAAGGATATTATATACATGACAGGATTCGTCTCACTCACTGACAGTTTCATAGGTGGAGAAGTCCACGGATCCAAGTTTGCATTTTTCAGAATTTCAAAGCATGGTCTTAGCTCAGTGAACATGTCCCCGTAATTACAATAACATACTGAACCTCTTTCATACGGGGAATGGAGGGTCAGTTAAAGAACATTTAAGAGTATAGGGTAAATATTTGAACCATTGGACACAACGAACAAATATATTGTGCCTAATTGCTAAATACATATACGCCACATTTTGATCATAGATCGTTATTTCAATACGGCTACATTGGAAATCATATTGAAAGCCGGGTTCAACGAAAGGGGATGTCACGATGGCTTATGCTATAGTATGGTAAGTCTTATTAGTCTGGCGGTTTCTAGAAGAACACAGACCTAATGACGGCCAACAGTTAAACTGGCCATGACATACGCTCATTTGACTTACTCGGGAGTTCTGTAACACGTCCAACTGAAGTACCCCACCTTCATTGTATCTGAGCGCAATAGAGACTTGGGAGGCATGTTTTGAAGGTAGTATAGTGTGAAACATGCGTGTGCACGCGGAGACTCTGTAAGCTATTTTCGTTGCGTTTTATGCCTCAACTCATCTGATAGACTTTCATGCTTAAATCTGGATGTCTGGTGTCTGTTATAACCATACACATGATTCCCTTGATGAACAACATGACTTGTAAATAACTTTTAGAGTTCACATTGACGTAGAACCATTAAATATACACCTGAAGGCATTGTGTGACGGTCTGGACTGTGTTTACCCCGATATATAACAGCATAGGGTTATGCTTCAGACATCAACAACATGTCTACATGTGCAACTGGTGCGACCCTCGTCTTGTCTACACCATGAAGAGGATGCTAGCTACATTGTAATACTGTTTGCACCATGAAGGTGTTGGTAGCTACAATGTAATCCTGTCTGTACTACGTATCTGATGCTAGCTACATTGCAATCCGGTCTGCACTATGTATCTGATGCTAGCTACATTGCAATCCGGTCTGCACTATGTATCTGATGCTAGCTACATTGTAATCCGCTCTGCACTATGCATCTGATGCTAGCTACATTGCAATCCGGTCTGCACTATGTATCTGATGCTAGCTACATTGTAATACTGTCTGCACTATGTATCTGATGCCAGTTACATTGTAATCCGCTCTGCACTACGCATCTGATGCTAGCTACATTGCAATCCGCTCTGCACTATGTATCTGATGCTAGCTACATTGTAATACTGTCCACACTATGTATCTGATGCCAGTTACATTGTAATCCGGTCTGTACTATGTATCTGGTGCTAGCTACATAGTAATACTGTCTGCACTATGTATCTGATGCTAGCTACATTGTAATACTGTCTGCACTATGTATCTGATGCTAGCTACATTGTAATCCGGTCTGCACTATGTATCTGATGCTAGGTACAGTATAATACTGTCTGCACTATGTATCTGATGCTAGCTACATTGTAATACTGTCCACACTATGTATCTGATGCCAGTTACATTGTAATCCGGTCTGTACTATGTATCTGGTGCTAGCTACATAGTAATACTGTCTGCACTATGTATCTGATGCTCGCTACATTGTAATACTGTCTGCACTATGTATCTGATGCCAGCTATATTGTAATCCCGTCTGTACTATGTATCTGATGCTAGCTACATTGTATTCCTGTCTGCACTACGTATCTGATGCTAGCTACATTGTAATACTGCCTGCACTATGTATCTGATGCTAGCTACATTGTAATACTGCCTGCACTATGTATCTGATGCTAGCTACATTGTAATCAGGTCTACACTATGTATCTGATGCTAGCTACATTGTAATACTGTCTGCACTATGTATCGGATGCTAGCTACATTGCAATACTGTCTGCACTATGTATCTGATGCTAGCTACATTGCAATCCGATCTGCACTATGTATCTGATGCTAGCTACATTGTAATACTGTCTGTACTATGTATCTGATGCTAGCTACATTGTAATCCGGTCTGCACTATGTATCTGATGCTAGCTGCATTGTAATCCGGTCTGCACTATACATCTGATGCTAGCTACATTGTAATCCCGTCTGTACTATGTATCTGATGCTAGCTAAATTGTAATACTGTCTGCACTATGTATCTGATGCTAGCTACATTGTAATACTGTCTGCACTATGTATCTGTTGCTAGCTACATTTTAATCCGGTCTACACTATATATCTGATCCTAGCTACATTGTAATACTGTCTACACTATGTATCTGATGCCAGCTAAATTGTAATCCGGTCTGTACTATGTATCTGATGCTAGCTACATTGTAATACTGTCTGCACTATGTATCTGATGCTAGGTACAGTATAATACTGTCTGCACTATGTATCTGATGCTAGCTACATTGTAATACTGCCTGCACTATGTATCTGATGCTAGGTACAGTATAATACTGTCTGCACTATATATCTGATGCTAGCTACATTGTAATCCAATCTGTACTATGTATCTGATGCTAGCTACATTGTAATACTGTCTGCACTATGTATCGGATGCTAGCTACAGTGTAATATAGTCTGCACTATGTATCTGATGCTAACTATATTGTAATACTGTCTGCACTATGTATCTGATGCTAACTACATTGTAATACTGCCTGCACTATGTATCTGATGCTAACTATATTGTAATATGTACCGAGGCATGCTTCATTGTAAGTACTGTCTTCAAAGCAACGTTTTGTGACATTCTGGTTAATGTGTTTGTAGCGACGCTGGGGGGGTCGAGTACGATGTCAGGTCAAATCTTGTGGCATTACGAACTTAAACCTATCCCGTCATGGGATCGGATGCTGCTATATCCCGTTCACAAAGCGATCGCAGCGCTTAGATGAGTATTTTGTCAGAGAATTTTCTGAGGATTATAAACGGATAATAAGATGGATTACATCTATAATTATTATGATCACATAATCGGAAATTTGAACTTTATGCGTCTCCGCACTTCGGTCATAATGTGTTGAAAATCCGCATTTTCGCGTGATAACGACAGTTACATACAGGGTTAATACACCGTGTAGGGTTAACGAGACTCGTCACAATCCTTGGCCACCATGTTCACTCCCCTAGCATCTATCGCGAGGAAATAACTCCGTCAGCTGGTCTTCAAATGATCAACGGTCCGCGACGTTTGATACAGACATCTACCCCGAGGCTTCAAGAAACCATTTAACATGCTTTAACAGAGCCTATTATACAAGCGGAGCAGGGGTGATTGTAACTAGTGGTTTGCACCGGCTGTGTTCATTTGGCGTACTTACTCACATTATTGAAATATCTTCATACACATTTTGATAATGAGTGGAACACATTCAAGCGAAACAGGTGTTTGAGTTTTACTGTCGAAGCTTTGCTTTTCTCTAGGAGAATTATAATAAATACTGACAATGTTTTAAGTGTCTGTTATGTTTCCATGGTTTTTTTTAAAGATGGGATCATTATCGTATCCCCGCAACTAATTTTGAGGATAACTTGTAAAAGACATTGATGGTATTCAGGTCTCACACATTCCTATGTTCTATTGTGAACAAGACAGCCAGAGTAATGTACACTTTCAGAAGGGTTTGGTCACTCGTTGTGTCGTTAATGTGGGAACTATCGGATAGAACATTGCAAAGGCTCGCACTTTCCTTGCGATTAGAGCTACCTGTAAAGACCCAAGAACATGTGTAATATGTGGGGCTACACTAACTTTTATCATTCCGATTTTGTGTCTGAAATGTATGGTTACATACCGTGTCTTGTTTAACGACGCATATGTGTATTGTGTATTATGAAGAGAATGTTGTACGTATGGCTGTGGTAGATGTTGTGTACTGCTCCACGACGAATATGTTATGTTGTATGCTGAGGATGTTTTACAATGAGTCTGCCCTACATAGTGCGTCTGTTTTACTATGAATATATTAAATTGTATGTTGTATGATGATATATGTTTTACATTGTGGCCTTCCTACACGTTGTGTCTGGTTTACGATGAATACGTTGAGTTGTATGTTGTATGATGTCCGGTAATGATGATATATGTTTTACATTGTGGCCTACATACACGTTGTGTCTGTTTTACGATGAAATATGATGATATATGTTTTGCATTGTGGCCTACCTACATGTTGTGTCTGTTTTACGATGGGTACGTTGAGCTGTATGTTGTATGATGATATATATTTTACATTGTGGCCTGCCTACACGTTGTGTCTGTTTTACGATGAATACGTTGAGCTGTATGTTGTATGATGGTATATGTTTTACAGTGTGGCCTACCTACACGTTGTGTCTGTTTTATGATGAATACGTTGAGATGTATGTTGTATGGTGATATATGTTTTGCATCGTCGCCTACCTACATGTTGTGTCTGTATTACGATGGGTACGTTGAGCTGTATGTTGTATGATGATATATGTTTTACATTGTGGCCTACCTGCACGTTGTGTCTGTTTTACGATGGATACGTTGAGCTGTATGTTGTTTGATGATATATATTTTACATTGTGGCCTACCTACACGTTGTGTCTGTTTGACGATGGATACGTTGAGTTGTATGTTGTATGATGATATATGTTTTGCATTGTGGCCTACCTTCAAGTTGTGTCTGTTTTACGATGAATACGTTGAGTTGTATGATGATATATGTTTTGCATTGTGGCCTACCTTCAAGTTGTGTCTGTTTTACGATGAATACGTTGAGCTGTATGTTGTATGATGGTATATGTTTTACATTGTGGCCTACCTACACGTTGTGTCTGTTTGACGATGAATGTATTAAATTGTATGTTGTATGATGGTATATATTTTACATTGTGGCCTACCTACATGTTGTGTCTGTTTTACGATGGATACGTTGAGTTGTATGTTGTATGATGATATATGTTTTACACTGTGGCCTACCTACATGTTGTGTCTGTTTTACGACGGATACGTTGAGTTGTAAGTTGTATGATGGTATATGTTTTACATTGTGGCCTACCTACACGTTGTGTCTGTTTGACGATGAATGTATTAAATTGTATGTTGTATGATGATATATGTTTTACATTGTGGCCTACCTACACGTTGTGTCTGTTTGACGATGGATACGTTGAGTTGTATGATGATATATGTTTTGCATTGTGGCCTACCTTCAAGTTGTGTCTGTTTTACGATGAATACGTTGAGCTGTATGTTGTATGATGGTATATGTTTTACATTGTGGCCTACCTACACGTTGTGTCTGTTTGACGATGAATGTATTAAATTGTATGTTGTATGATGGTATATATTTTACATTGTGGCCTACCTACATGTTGTGTCTGTTTTACGATGGATACGTTGAGTTGTATGTTGTATGATGATATATGTTTTACACTGTGGCCTACCTACATGTTGTGTCTGTTTTACGACGGATACGTTGAGTTGTAAGTTGTATGATGGTATATGTTTTACATTGTGGCCTACCTACACGTTGTGTCTGTTTGACGATGAATGTATTAAATTGTATGTTGTATGATGATATATGTTTTACATTGTGGCCTACCTACACGTTGTGTCTGTTTGACGATGGATACGTTGAGTTGTATGTTGTATGATGATATATGTTTTACATTGTGGCCTACCTGCAAGTTGTGTCTGTTTGACGATGAATACGTTGTGTTGTATGATGATATATGTTTTGCATTGTGGCCTACCTTCAAGTTGTGTCTGTTTTACGATGGATGTATTAAATTGTATGTTGTATGATGATATATATTTTACATTGTGGCCTACCTACACGTTGCGTCTGTTTTACGATGGATATGTTGAGCTGTATGTTGTATGATGATATATGTTTTACATTGTGGCCTACCTACATGATGTGTCTGTTTTACGATGGATACGTTGAGTTGTATGTTGTATGATGATATATGTTTTACATTGTGGCCTACCTACACGTTGTGTCTGTTTGACGATGAATGTATTAAATTGTATGTTGTATGATGATATATGCTTTACATTGTGGCCTACCTACACGTTGTGTCTTTTTGACGATGAATGTATTAAATTGTATGTTGTTTGATGATATATGTTTTACATTGTGGCCTTCCTACACATTGTGTCTGTTTGACTATGAATGTATTAAACTGTATGTTGTATGATGATATATGTTTTACATTGTGGCCTACCTACATGTTGTGTCTGTATTACGATGGGTACGTTGAGCTGTATGTTGTATGATGATATATGTTTTACATTGTTGGCTACCTACACGTTGTGTCTTTTTGACGATGAATGTATTAAATTGTATGTTGTATGATGATATATGCTTTACATTGTGGCCTACCTACACGTTGTGTCTGTTGTACGATGGATACGTTGAGCTGTATGTTGTTTGATGATATATGTTTTACATTGTGGCCTTCCTACACATTGTGTCTGTTTGACTATGAATGTATTAAACTGTATGTTGTATGATGATATATGTTTTACATTGTGGCCTACCTACACGTTGTGTCTTTTTTACGATGAATATGTCGGGTTGTATGTTGTATGATGATATATGTTTTACATTGTGGCCTACCTACATGTTGTGTCTGTTTTACGATGGATACGTTGAGTTGTGTGTTGTATGATGGTATATGTTTTATATTGTGGCCTACCTGCACGTTGTGTCTGTTTTACGATGAATACGTTGAGCTGTATGTTGTATGGTGATATATGTTTTACATTGTGGCCTACCTACACGTTGTGTCTATATTACGATGGGTACGTTGAGTTGTATGTTGTATGATGATATATGTTTTACATTGTGGCCTACCTGCACGTTGTGTCTGTTTTACGATGAATACGTTGAGCTGTATGTTGTATGATGGTATATGTTTTATATTGTGGCCTACCTGCACGTTGTTTCTGTTTTACGATGAATACGTTGAGTTATGTGTTGTATGACGGTATATGTTTTAAATTGTGGCCTACCTGCATGTTGTGTCTGTTTTACGATGGATACGTTGAGCTGTATATGACATCATATTGGAAACAGTAGAAGCATCAAGTTTCGTGTTGTACAACAATTCTCTCTCTCTCTCTGTGTGTGTGTGTGTGTGTGTAAAGTTGTTGATAGTGTGCTGTTTTATGTTGTTTGTTGTGTATTTTGATGATATTTTGTGCTGTAAGATGTGTTTGCTTTTGTCAGAGTTGTGTACTGTGTCAGATATTGTGCTGGATGTCGTGTGAAATATTTATATTGTGTTACATATTGATGCTGTATGAAATGTTACATTTGTTGAACATTCTGTCAACTGTGAATTGTGAATGATGTATGCTGAGTTGTATGCTATGTTGTATGATTGTTGATATTCATCACATGTGCCTGTTGTACGTTGTTTTGTGGCATATAACATATTACATGTTGTATTGCACGATACACTCAGTATGGTTGTGCTGTATGCTGTGTCCAATGGTATGTTGTGTCCTATATTGTGCTGTGTGGTATACTGTGGCTCCTCTCCCCCTCCTCTTCCTACTGCTGCTGCTGCTGCTGCTGCTACTACTACTACTACTACTACTACTACTACTACTACTACTACTACTACTACTACTACTACTACTGCTGCTTCTGCTACAACTACATAATATTATTTTTTATCTGTAAGTATTTCTATTACTACTACTACAACTACTTATACTCCTGGCGTTGCTGCTGCTACTACTACTGCTGCTGCTGCTGCCGCTGCTAATACTACTATTCCTGATGTTGCTACTACTACTTCTACTACTATTACTACAACAATACTGCACTGGCGCTTAACACCATGCACTCTGTATGTTGTCGTGGTCAGTCCGGATCGGGATTGTCTAGACTACGAATATCCAGAACAAACTCAACACTTACATACAATATTTGTCTTCATGCAATTTTTCTGCGTCCTCAGACCGTGTGAAATTTTAGCAGTCGTCATCGTTTCCCCCTTTTACACTGAAACAAGGCTTGGTCCACGTGGCCTCCCAGTGGTTAATGACCTCCTCCTATTTCTATTTACACAAACCAAGATAAGGTACACATGTTACTCGAACTCACTGTACGCCCGTACTCCCTTTTGAATGCTCACTGTATACAGGGCTGATCCACACGTGTTGCAATAAACGTCCTTGGCCAGGACCATCACAGTCTAGAAATGCCGTGGGACTCTTTATATACAGATTGATTTAGGACTATTTATCTGAGGTTATCAATTAAAACACACAGCACTGAAGCTGCAGAACGCTATTTGTTACACATTTTTTGTGAGAGGTGTGTTGGTTATATAGAAGAACATCGTGACCTCCCCAGCCGTGTGGTTAGATATCGTAGTTGATATAAATTGCTTTCAAATTGGGGAGACTATTCAGGGCGTGCAGTGACATGACAATTGGGTGAGTGAGTTTAGTTTTACGCCGCTTTTAGCAATATTCCAGCAATATCACGGCGGGGGACACCAGAAATTGGCTTCACACATTGTACCCACATGGGGAATCGAACCCGGGTCTTCGGCGTGACGAGCGAACGCTTTACCCACTAGGCTACCCAATCGCGCCTGACATGACAGAACAATCATCTGCGGATATAAGGAACTCTAAGCTACTGGTATAAGAAGCTCTTCACTGCCTGATATATGCTACTATAACTGCGGATACAAGAAGCTCTTCACTGCAGATATAACGAATTGTTTACTTAATAAGGGAAATTAGGCCGTTATATTCGAAATTTAATATTGCAGGGATAAAACACATTTACCAGTTCTGATCAGAGGAATGAATATACCTGGCTAGAACTGAATTATGTGAAAGTGTAGTACAGGGTTTTCAATGAGTACGAATAGTTCAACCAAACAAAGGCACAGGGAACGCTTTATGAAATTCAATTTTCTGTCATATAAATTGTCATGATTTAAAAAACATAATCTGTCTTAAGAACTTAGGAAATAAGCTTAAATTATCCACACAAATATAAACTGACAGTTTAGTAGTTACCACAATTCTGAAGGAATAATCAAGTAGAACTAATAACATCCTTCTCCTTACGATTGTATATTTGTTTATTGTTTTAAGGGGCGGGCAACCTTGACTCACTGACTCACTGACTCACACGTGACTCACCTGCCAAGGCCAGCTCAGTTTGTGGGCTTCTCTCCCCCCTACGACTCTGTATCCTCGGGTCAGATTGGACGGGCGGATGCCGCATGTCTTTTGTATTTCCTCCAGACTGGGGGCCGGGTACCTCTCTATAATACGCAATAGCGGCATTGTATAGGTATTGTATATTCCTTCAATATAAGGCTATGAACAGAACAGATGAAACATTTTCACGAGAAATCATAATTGGTATCATAATTGAGATCAGAGTCCATTGCACTCTATAAAATGAGCTTTGTGTTGTTTGTTTGTTTGTTGTTTACCCAGCAATAGTCCAACTATATGGCGGCGGTCTTTAAATAATCGAGTCTGGACCAGACAATCCAGTGATCACCAGCATGAGCATCAATCTACGCAACTGGGATACGATGATATGTGTCATTCCGTTAGTCGCCTCTTAAGACAAACGTGGATTGCAGAAGACCAATTCTAACTCGGATCTTCACGTGTCTATATAATGACTGACTGACTGACTGAGTTTAGTTTTACGCCGCTTTTAGCAATATTCCAGCAATATCACGGCGGGGGACACCAGAAATGGGCTTCACACATTGTGCCCATGTGGGGAATCGAACCCGGGTCTTCGGCGTGACGAGCCAACGCTTTAACCACTAGGCTACCCTGCCGCCCCGTCTATATAATGAGCCTGTGATGATACATGTGTTCACGAAACACAATACACATACCATAAACATTAGAACTGCTACAAATATAAAATATATAAACAAAAACGTGACACCCTGTTATAACACTACCAATAGTTTAAGCACAGTTTACTGGCTGCACTGCATTGTTGAATATATACTGTTTCGAGACTGGTTTATGGACATAAAAAAACATGTTGAAGATTTCAGCTGCTACAACATGATATTAAATCTCTTTCAACAATTACAAGATAGGAAGTGAGTGCACTCACAGGCTGTTATCTTAAAGAGGAAGAAACACCTTAAGTTTATTCGATATATTGTTATTAACGAGACTGGGTTGTTTAAAAGACGTTGCACTTCATCCACACTTCCATGTGAAACCTTCGAGATATGCACATACACTAAACGCCAAAAGAAACGTTACCCTCCTATCTTTATGAATTACTGAAAAACTATGGTTAATGAAGATAACTGAAGATATGTTAGAAGGTATTAGTTTACAAGAAAGCTTAACAACATAGCTTTATGCAAATCACGAAAACAAAATTCTCAAATGCATTCATATTTAGGTGAAATGCATCTTTTTCAGAAGAGTTAAATTGTCCTATAGTCGTCCATGCCGAAATAAACCAATAACAGTGATTTAACAAAATTCTGCTTTGGGACAATGATAAACCATTTAATGGCACGATTTTTCAACTATTAAAACAAGAAATAACTGTTGTAGAGTGTGTAAAATTGTAAAATAATCATTCCTGTGATTTCAGTCTTTCAAAACATTTTCTGCTGATTTGCATTAGTGAAAACAATTACAATGTGTCTTTAATATTGTGAAATAATGTTTTGGAACATCTAAAATTATCTTTGTTAACATTTTTGCTTGCAAATTAACATTTTTCCATTTTCTGTTTACACATAGCAATATTAAACGCCAAAACGCAGCAATATTCAAGCAGTATTTACATCCATTTCACATGTAGAATGATTCTATAAGGTATGAAGAGAGCCTAGAATACATGATATAATACAGAAGTACGAGACATATGCCTCTGAAGAGAGAGAAAAAGCGTTATTGGGATGGTGCAGATGGGGTCAAAATACAATGCTGTTGCCAACACCCCCGGATGCCACCGTATCACGGTTATAAGATTTATTCAGGGCTTCAGACAGACTGGTGTCACCGTAGACAGACCAAGAAATGGACGTCCACGTATCACAACGCCAGCTGAAGAAAGGTACCTCTGTCATTAAGAAAGGAGGGTAACGTTTCTTTTGGCGTTTAGTGTATGTGCATGTTATATCAGATGTGACAGTAATGTGCCTTCAAAGAAAAAGGAAATGAAGAATTCATACAAAGTTTCCCGTGCGCATGAAACAAGCGCAACCTAGAATCTTTAGGCGATGAGACTGAGACTGAGGAAGCTTTGAGAAAGGACGCCCCGGGAATTCAATGGAAATCTTAGAGAAAAAAAAGCCCTTAAAACTCACTTTCTTTTAATGCATATTAGTAATTTACACATGTATTCATTTTAATCATGGCCATGATATGTAGAATAATATCCAAAGTGAGTAATCCAGGATTCGAAATTATGATACCAGATTTCTTCCATTCCTATGGGAATCAATTGCACACATAAGAACACCCCAGTCCCCATATAATGCCAACATGTAGATGGTTATGGGCGCATTGGGCATCAATTGAGTATAAGGTTTTAATTTTGCTGCCTTCAATATGATATCACATTGCATGACATTGCATGGTATAACTAGCATGGGTAAAACAAGCTACTCCGTTGCAGCGTCAGGGCCCGACTAGTCTGTCATACAGACGCTGGAACAATTATATCCAAAGAACCAAGTCTAGAATATGTGGCAAGTCTAGAAATGAAGAAAGTCTCTGGTCTCCTTTTCATTATATAGTATGACATTTTTATGAACAGTTTTTGTCTGTAAAATATGTTACTGTGTCAGACCGGCTCAACATTTCCATAAACAGTATATATAGTGGTAAATGTCAGTGACTAGTGACACCTGGCTTCATTCTTACATGACATTAAATAGATACGCCGTGGTACAACAGGAATACTGAGTGTGAAAAGACACGCAACACACTCACTCACTCAGCTTTGAGTTATCTGATGCTCAGAAGAAAAATACTACACCATGTTATATATAAGCAACCGCGAAGACTTTCAGAGAGGAGAAGCATGAATACAAATAATAATACAAATATACTGAACTCAGACATCAAAAGCAAATGTGCCTATTTCCGTCACGCCGCAACACACATAGTCTTTAGCATTACCATAGGATATACAATGTCTTATGTACTTATGTCATTTTCAGCCTGGGGTATAGCTAAAACCTGTACACTATTATAATGGAGCTGCTCCCTCTCGACCGTCTTGCTATCATAACCAAATACAATATGGCACAGAGGGGGGAGACTACTTCGAAGTAGACACGACGCTTTGAAGAAGTTCCTGCTATTAACATAACCAAAAACATCGAATAGACTGTGAAAAACGCTCCGAAATGAAAATTATCTAAAATAGTTTCAGCCGCTTGTCTGCACGCATGTGAACCAATTGGTTTACGCATTATTTCTAAAGCAATTCGTCCGCACTCCCTTCCTACCGCTGTGTTATAGGGCCATACTTTATTCCGTCATTATATAACCATCGCTATTCCAGTTTAATAGTTTCGATGAAATGTTTATGTTACACTCGAGTCAACCTTACCATGCTTTAGTGATCTTGAAATCTAAATTGGTATCGCATGTGATATTTAAGCTCATGTCTGTGTTTTGTGCGTTGAAAACTTTTCAAATTCCAAAAGGTTTTTTTATCTATAGCTTCTTGATAAAAAATTAGGCTTTTGGATAAGTTTCAACATCTTTTGTTATTCATGTGCTTTAATGGTTTAAGTTCCTTAACAGATCCCAATTAACCGACTTTGGGGGTCAAGCTTCCAAAATATTCTCATCTTAAACATAACTCCCCAGAGACAAATTTCTCTAAGAGAGCCGATGTCTCAAGGCATTGAATAAGAGATGAAACTGTGTTAAAGTTTCTGACCATTCGATCCGAATCCGAAACTTCCCATGATCATATGAAATCTCTGCTAAATCTTTAGTTCTTCTAAAGCACCAAATTTTAAACAGTGACAAGTCCCCAACTTCATTTAACACATTTGGAATGACTGTTCACTTTCCGATGTTTACGGTGTGAGTCCATGGCTTTAAATTGCAAAATGATTTACTAGTAAGACGTACCTTCGTTAGATATTTAGGTTAAACGGTAAGCATCTTCCGTTGACTCTAACGGTTCTTCAAATCTCGACAGACATATTGTGGCCCTTGCTACCAACAAGGACAGCAAATATTAATATCAAATAATGCCATTTATCGGACTGTGTGTTAACTGAAGAAGGATCTGCCAAACCGTTCACCATCATGTATCATCAACCCCTATATTAACAAGTTGCTGCAGCGCACATTTAGTCGGAAACCAGTCTAAAAATGCTAGACTATCATCTAGTCTCTGAAATGAACAGTTCCTAAATTATAATAATAAAATATAATGGAAAGGAGCCGAGAGACTTCCGAAAACTGGCTATCTAGACTTGCCACACATTCGTGACTTGCATGGGCTTTCTCGGATATATTTGTTTCAGGGTCTGTATGACAGACTACTTAAATGCCTTTGTTGAGCCGGTCCGTCCAGTGCGCTGCGTCTGACATGACCCCCACTATAATAGCTATATGACTAAGATGGCTTTGTTGATCGGGCTTTCTAATTTGGTTATGCCTGACTTTACTCCACGTATTATCACAGACGTAGGAATTCTTCAGTGAGTGAGTGAGTGAGTGAGTGTGGTTTAACGCCTTTTTGAACATCATTTTAAGAGCTGACAGTCTAATGATCCAAAGCGGAAACCCACGATAAGCCACGACAAAGGGAGGCCACTATGTACAGCAACACATATACCGCTAGCCGTAAGTGCCCTAAACGAAGGAATGGAAAATGATGCACCGTAGTCATAGCCAACGTACTCATCAAACCATCTCTTCATTCACTTAAATTCCAGCAAGGTATGATTCTGTTTTTTTTAAACATGCTAGCATCAACTTCAATTAATAACCCATCTTAAACATTACACTACTTTGCATAATGCGTCTGGAACAAACCCCTTGAGAAACTAAAGTAATTCGGCCTGCTTCACCGTCACGCGTAGAAGTGCAAACGATTATGTCCCTGATTTAATTTAACATAAATGCATACATAATGTAACGTGATCCGCGGCATCATTACAACAACAGATTGCTTCTAAACTGGTGCCAATATTGTATTAATATGAAACAAATGCCCACTCGGCATTAACAGAAATAACCTTATCAGGACCGGCACTTGGTGTTATCACGCAGCGACCAAATCACAAAG